CTTTACTGTAAAAATAAAAAGGCTGTTTCCAAGTGGGACAGCTAATGAAGTTCTAATTATTGCAGACATATTTTTGAGATGTAAAAAAAAATTAAAATTAAATGATAAGTCTTAGAGGTGAGTGAGGAATAAAATGGATGTAAACATTTACATGGGATGCATTAGAATTCTGTGTGTATTGTCTTTTGGTTGAAGCAAATTATGAACAGTGACTCATAATAAAAAATACTAAATGATTTAAAATTTGCTTCCTTGCTTCTTTGGATTAGAAGCCTTGGATGAATTCTTTTTCCAGAGCTGAGCTAAATTTATGTGTTAATGTTTCTTTTACACAGAAATCTCACCAAGAGAGGTAACTGAAGAGTTAAAAAAAACTTGTAGGTGTTAGAGACAGAAGTTTTAAGGGCAGTTGAACATTTTACCTGTAATATCACTTCCATTCTTATCTTCACATAGATGAATCCTCAAGGCAAAGAAGTCATCAAGGTGGTTAAGGCAGTCATGGAGTTTTAATTATAAGGTGCTCTTTGGGCATAGTATATCTATGACTGGGGGGAAGAAGATGACTTGACCAGCCAATATGAAGTATAGTTCATAGCATGTTTTACATGATTTTTTTGTTTGTTTGTTTTTGTGAGACAGGTTCTCATTATATATCTTAGATTGGTCTTGAACTTGAGATCCTCCTGTCTTAGCCTCTCAAGTGCTGGGATTACAGGGAGGTACCACATGCCCAACTATTTTTTTTTCTTTTTGCAGTACTGGGGTTTGAACTCAGGTTCTTCACTTGCTTGAAGTACACCCCTAGCCCTTTTTGCTTTAAATTGTTTTCAAATAGGGTCTCACATTTTTGCCTGCCTGGCCTCAGACTATGATCCTTTTACTTCTACCCCACCTGCACCCAAATAACTGGGATTACAGCTGTGTATCACCATCCCTAGCCTAACATGAATTCTTTTTTGGAGGGTGAAGTCTAGGTTTTTTGTTAACTCTGATGATCCTTGACAATCCCTTAATTAAGAAAGGGGAGGTTGTGACAGTCCCTTGATTAAAAATGTGTAGGGTGTAGGCCTTGACGGTTATCTAGTTTATGCAGAAGTGCACTTTGGAACTATTTGATAAGCAACAGTTCTATAAACTTGCCTTCTATGTGGCTTAGTTAAAATTCATCTTTGTTTCTAATTTTAACTGACACCATCACCAACATGTAATTAAAGTTTAGCCAGTAAATAGGCCCCAGGCATTTACTTCAGTATAATGACTGCTCAGATTTGAACTTTAATCTAGAGCAACCAAAATACCTTTAATCACTTTTAATAGTTTCTATGCTATGATCTCCCCCAGTTCATATGTCCCCCATATTTGAAAAGCAGAACTGTCCTGTGGTAGAGCATTTGCCTTGTGAGGTTCTGGACTTGATCCTCCAGCACCACAAAAGAAAAATAAAATAAGTTTAAGGAGAAGAAACCAGGTAAATACTGTCTGTTTATTTAGAACCAAAATTAATACTAAATCTGTTTACCCTGTGGTGGAATAACAATGGATTGGACTTAACGATGACTTGTGATCACTGAAGGAGTAGGAACTAGATATAAACAAGTAAAAGTCTCTGATTCCTTCTTCAAAGTCTGATGGACATGAACTGCCCTCTCCAGGCTGTATTCCCATCTTGTCATGAAGACTGGGGAAAGTTCCTGGCATAGTTACACATGTGCACAGCTGGAAGAGGAAAGATATGGAGAGGAGGGAGTCTAATGACTTTTCTGTCTCTTGGCATAATCCAAACAATGATTTTTGTAATGATGAACCTGCAGTGAGGACAGATGGATTTTTGCACCCAAAAAAATCCCAGAGGAATTTATTTTTAGGGTGAGTCTCAGCTGTTTACCATTTTCAGAAATTATAGTTACATAACCCTTGGCATACATAATGTACATTGCCTTGAACTGAGGAGGGCATGAATATGTGACCTTTGAAACAATTTTGACGATATTGGGGTTTTAACTCAGGGCCTTGTGCTTGTACTTGAGCCATGTCTTCAGCCCCTTTTGCTTTTAGTTATTTTTCAGATAGGGTCTTACGCTTTTTTAGTTTTTAATGTTTTTGGGACTGGGGTCTGAACTCAGAGCCTTGTGCTTGCAAACAGGCACTTCACTGCTTGAACCACACCTCCAGTCCATTTTACTCTGGTTATTATGGAGATGAGGGTCTCTCAAACTATTTGCCATGGATGGTTTCGAAATGCATCCCTCCTGATCTCAGCCTCCCAACTAGCTAGGATTACACGTGTGAGCAACTGCAAGTCTAAACTGGATCTTAGATTTTTTTTTTTCTTGCAGTATTGGTACTTGAATGCGGGCCCTTGTACTTGCCAGGCAGGCACTCTACCATTTTAGTCACATCCCTAGCCTGCACTCCTTTTAAAAGAGGTACTACTATTGCCAATATGAAGAAGGAGTAAAGGCATGACTTCAAAAGACATATTAATGTTACTTATGAATTGATATAGCCTACCATCTCAGTTAAAAAGATCCTCACCTACCACTGTTTCCCACCATGAATTCAAACTTTGGTCTTGAGACTAAGATCTTTGCCTTTTTTGTGATCAGTCAGTAAAGAACTACTACTGAGCCAGCCACCTGTGGCTCCGACCTGTAATCCTAGCTACTCAAGAGGCAGAGATCAGGAGGATTGTGGTTCAAAAGCCAGCTTGGACAAATAGTTCTTAAGACCCTATCTCAAAAACCAAAAAAGGCTGGTGGAGTGGCTCAAGTGGTAAGAGCACCTGCCTAACAAGTGTAAGGCCTTGAGTTCAAACCCCAGTGCAAAAAAAAAAAAAATACTCCTGAGATCTGGAAAAGGTACTTTAAGAAACAGGCTTTAAGCTGGGTGCCAGTTGCTCATGCTGTAATCCTAGCTACTCAGGAAGCACAAAAAAGCAGGGCTGATGGAGTGGCTCAAGGTGTAGGCCTTGAGTTCAAGCCTCAGCACCACAGACACACACACAAAAAGGCTTTAGAAATATTCTGAACTACATCTTTTTTCTTTCTATCACTGCCTGTTTGCCCTTTGTCAAGTCTTACTTTCTTCTGGCTCTATATTGGTGCCTGTCCTATCTACACCAGTGTTCTTGCAGGGAAACTACCCAGTAAGTTCTGAAATGGAAACCCAACTACATTGAGTAGCTTTCTTGAAAATAATTTCAAAAAAGAAAGAAAATTCAGGAGGTGGACAACATAAGAGCTTTATTCCCCTTTTACCAGAACTGTAGAGGTAAGTCATTTTTATGTAAGTATTAAAATGAGACTCAAGAAATGAAGATTACTGGGGATTGGAATTTTGATCTGTGCAGCATAACTCATATGAAGGAAGAAAACAGTGACCTTTGCAGCAGAAATAATTTGTACAGGATCAGAACCTTTGAGAGCTAAATTTTGTCTTGGCATGTAAAATATTTGAAGTTACTGGTTTTTTGCTGTTTAATTTCTTACAAGTTGCTTGAAGATGGAACACTTGTGTAAGAGCAGAAGCCCTAAAAAAACAGAAGTCTTTAAGAATTTAGGAGGACTTAATCAAAGTACTTTTTGGGAAATTGGGTGAAAGCTTAAATTTGGAATTTCAGAATTGTAATGGCTACTAGGAATCCCAACTATGTTAGGTGCATTGTATGTATTATTCCCTAAAAGTTCCTGATAACTGCTAAGCAGATATGAATCTATGTCTTCCATAGTTTAAGAACCAAAAGGCTTACATGGGAGTTGGTGGCTCACGCCTGTTATCCTAGCTACTCAGGAGGCAGAGATCAGGAGGATTGCAGTTCGAACTCAGCCCAGGCAAATAGTTCTTGAGAGCCTATCTCGATAATACCTATCACAAAAAATTGGACTAGTGGAGTGGCTCAAGGTGTAGGCTCTGAGTTCAAACCCCAGTACTGAAAACAAAACAAAACAAACCCAAAAAAACCCAAAACAAAATCCAAAGACTTAGTTCCGAGAATTTGTACAAGAGTATAGATCTAATAACTGGTAGAGCTGAAATTTGATATCAGGCTGATTCCAAATTTGGTCACTGACCATAAAACTATCATCCCAGCAACTAAAAGAAAATAGCTTTTAAAATAATTTTCTTTTTTTTTTTCATTTTTCTTTTATTATTCATATGTGCATACAAGGCTTGGTTCATTTCTCTCCCCTGCCCCCACCCCCTCCCTAAAATATTTTTCTGAATTAGACTTTTGCGGTACAGGGGCTTGAACTCAGGGCCTACATCTTGAACCACTGTACGAGCACTTTTTCGTGATGTGTTTTCTCGAGATTGGGTCTCGCGAACTATTTGCCCTGGCTGGCTTCGAACCACGATCCTTCTGATCTCTGCCTCCTGAGTAGCTAAGATTACAGACGTGAGCCACCGGTGTCAGGCTCCACATTATTTCTTAAGGCCCAGAACAGTTCTCTTTGCCACTTGAAAAGGTTGACATACGGCTGGAAGGTGAGGAGACGTTTTGGTACACGAGGTTGGGTTGAATTTGCCAAAGAAAGGACCTTACTAAGGTGGATATTCTGAACAGTTCGTTCAAAGGCTTTAGCGAGTGGAGTATAAAGAGAACATGAGCCACCGTCAGTGTCGCAGTTGACAGGTGGACAGGTACAGACCCCCACCTGCCCCTTTCTCTTGCCGCTACTTCGAGAGCGAGGACAGCAGCAAATCGCCTCTCTTGCAGCCCAGTCCTCCAAACCCAGGGCGACGGGCAGCAGAAGTCCACGCCGCGGTGACAGAGACTCCGCCCGTCTGTCCTTCGGCTGCCGCCGGCTGGCCTGGATGCGGCTTCGCGGCGCCATCCACGCCTAGCCTGCAGCTACGCAGGTTCTCCGGGGCTGCGGTGGGCGGGGCCCCAGGGGGCGGGGAGGGCGGGACGAGGGGCGGGGCCTTCGACTGCTCGCGCGCTCCGCCGAGGCTCGCGCGCCGTCGTGCTGGCGGGGTGTCCCTGTACAGCTTTGGCCTCCGATGGGGGAGGTGGAGCCGGGGCCCGCGGGGCCGCTGGAGCCCCCGGAGCCGCCCGAAGCGCCCTCGAGCCGCCGGCCGGGAGGGATCCGGGTCCTGAAGGTGAGGCGGCTGGCGAGCGGTGGGTTAAGAGGGAGCGGGGAAACGCCGAGGCCGCCCCCGCCCCGCACGGTGCCCGAGGCAGCCGGCGTCCCCCGCCTCACGTCAGTGGGTCGGCTTTGCTGCTCGGCCGCTTTACAACCAGCGTGGGGCTCCAAGGCCTCCGCGCCGCGCCCCCGCCGAGGCCTTGGCAGCCTCTGTCCCTATCCCGTGTCCCTCTTTGTCCCCCCCCCCGCCATACTGCCCATCCTTGGCCGCGCGCCACCCGCCAGGCAGGCCCACGCCTTCGGGCCGCCGGCCGCTGCCGCCCACCGGCTCCTTCGCCACTGCGGCCGGCTTCCCTCCGCTCGGCCGCGCTCGGGGCCCGGCGCCCAGCTCCCGGGGGTTGCTCCGAGGGCGGGCCGCTTCTGGCTGGAGCGGGGCTGCAAGTACGCAGGGCTCTCCCCCCGGACACCTGAAGACATCACCCTAGCGGGAGGATGGCGGCGGTGATTGGCCCGGCGCCCCGGTGCGCGCGGGCTGCGCCGAATGGAGCGGGCACACTGCCCTCGGGGCTCCCTACCCAAGTTACGACCCGGCGCTGGCTCCGAGAGGCGGCGGCTCCGCCCGGAGGGAGGGTCCCTGACGGAGCTGCTGTCCCCACTGGGACTCGCTGCGCGCGTTCAAGAAAAGGGAGGAGGGCCTGGGCCGCAAGGGGCATTCCTACCCGCGGGAGCCGGACTGGCGATCCCGGGGAGACGACAATGGGGGAGCCGTTATGCAACAGGCAGCTAGCGGGGCTTTTTGGCAGGAATTAGGGGGAGTGGGAGGATTTGAAAGCAGATGCAGGAGAGAGGGGAGTGGAGCCTTGAAGGTGATGACTAGAAGTTTAAATGCAGAAGGAATGCAGAAGGCGGGGAGGGGACGGGAAAGATGGGTAAAGGGAGGGGTTGTGGGTGGAGTTCTCTACTAGCCTTTGAAATAGTTGCTGAGAAATTTTTCTGTAGGTGAAATGTGTAAACTCGGTGGCCTTCCCGAGGTGGAATGGAATTCCTCTCGAGTTCTACAAGAGGAATCGGACAGGATTTATATATAATTTGCCAAGGAAGAGGGGAAAGAAAACAAGTTTGATGCGTTTCAAAAATAGTTTGCAAAATAATGAAAATACAGGGTGTTAAAAGTAAATACATTAAGTAGTAGGGGCTGAGATTGTTGTTGAGCAGTATTTTCTTGTTACTAAGATTATTGGTGCGACATCACAAAGATGGGAACGTCAAAAAAATAGATTTGATGGATCTAGTGAATCATGTAACATCATAAACCAGTACTCTTTAAAAGAAATCACCTTTTGGAGTTTGCCTCAGACCTCTTTGTTAAACCTTATACCTGTTTTTTTTTTTTTGGTGGAACTGGGGTTTGAACTCAGGTCTTTGTGCCTTGTAAAGTAGGTGCTGTACCACTTGAGCCACACTTCAGTCCAACCTTATACTTACTTATTGAAATTATTTAACCATAAATTGGGATATAATTCCCCAAATTCTTTTAATTAATTTATTTTGGCAGTACTGGGGTTTGAACTCAGGGCCTCGTGCTTGCTAGGTATTCACTCTTATCATTTGAGACACTCCACCAGCCCTTTTTTGTGTTGGGTATTTTCGAGATAGGGTGTCACAAACTGTTTGCCCCGGGCTGGCTTCGAGCTTATATCCTCCTGATCTCTGCCTCCTGAGTAATAAGGATTACAGGTGTGAGCTACCCGCACTGACTTCTTTTGGATATTTAAAATGACAAAATCAGGCTGGGGAGGTAGTTCAAAGATAGAGCACTTGCCTCCCATACGCAAGGCCCTAGATTCAATCTCCAGCACTACAAAACAAAACAAAATCAAAACACAAAAATGTAGATTGTAAATGAACTCAATAAAAACAGAAGTTCATTTGGCCTGGTTTATCAGGATATAGCAGGTCTGACAGGAATGTAATGCCTTCTGACCTGGAAGGTTAACAATTTTTGCTTTTTGGGGGACACTGGGGACTGAACTCAGGGTCTCATGCTTGCTACTTGAGCCACCACTCCCTTTTTGGCATTTTTTTTTTTTTTTTGTAACAGCCTTTTCTTTTTGGTGGTGAGGGAGTAAATTATGAGAGAGAAGAGGCTGAGAAATGAGGAACTTTACAGAAGATAACCTTCCACCGGTTCCCTGAAGTTCCAGTTTCAGAACTGTTAGAAAGATTTTAGTCATTGAGCTTGATTCTGGTTGTGAGCTCCTGATTGGAGAGGATGGCTGTCTCTCAGGCCTTTTCATTTTAGTCCTTGTAAGTAAGTGGGATGGTCATGGAGAACAGATATTGTATGTTCTACATACAGAAGTTCTCTTAAGTGACTGAGTAGTTGACTTTGTGTAAAGTGAAACTGGAAAAGAATACAAGTAAGTAGAAGCCCTTAGAACTGGAAAGAAAGTCATAATTGCCCACACATTTTGTCTGAAGACCCTACAAAAAAGACTTTTCCAGACTAGGGGTGTATCTCTGAGCTGGGAGTGTTGCTCAGTAGTAGAGCACATGTGTTTGGTCTCCAGCACCAAAAAAAAAATGACTTTCTATTCCTTTTGTAACTTTTATACCTAATACCAAATCATGAACATCATTATTATCAAATAGAAGTTTTCATAAAAAGCCTACTATAACCAAGCCATTATAACTTAGCCAGACTAAATAAGGTCCATCTATATGGGGTACTGGAAAATTCTGTTCAAAATATGTCCTTGATTTGGGCATGGTAGTATGTGCCCATATTCCCAAAACCAGTCTGGGCAATATAGTGGGACTTTATATATATATATTTTTTTTTTGGTGGGACTGGGCATTGAACTCAGGGCTTCGTGCTTGCAAAGCAGGGGCTCTATCGCTTGAGCCATACCTCCAGCCCCAAGACTATATCTTTAAAAAAAGTTTCCAAATTCATTTAGCAAATTACTAAAACATAGGTATGTAAGTTTTTCAGATGTTTCCTACAGTTTTGAGATTAGTTTTTTGTGTTTTTGGTGGTATTGGGGTTTGAACTCATGGCTTCACACTTGCCAGGCAGATGTTCTGTCACTTGAGCCACTTCACCAGCCTGAGATTAGGTTTTTTCCCATCCCCCCCATCTGTAGAAGGTAGGAAGTTACAATTTATTTAGTTGGTGAATGCCATGAGATTTTTTTAAAGAATAGTTTTACATTTTTATCAAAATACTATGTTTACATGGTTTTAAACAATCAATACCAAAATGTTTTTGATGAATGAAATATTCTTCCTTATCCCGGTTTTCTCCATCCCTTCCAAATAGTCTATAATCTGTATATTCCCAGAGATGGGCCCTTATTGTTATAAAATTCTGAATGCAGAACACCCCCACCCCTGGCCTCCCACTTTAAAGTAATTCATGTTCCAATAGAACTGAATATGAAGAGTTATTTTGCCAAACCCTGTTTTTACCATACACGTCTCAGAGTTAATATATATGGGTGTTTACTAGTTTACCACCTTTGGACTGACCACAGCCCTCATATATTATCTTTATGTTTTTAAGAGTTAAAATTATAAAACTGAAGTAGTGGGTACTCAGTTTGTGGCTTACTCTAAAAAATGCTGCTTTCCTGAAAGAACTGTTAATTTTTTTGCGGGGGTGGGGGTTGGGAGGGCGGGTACTGGAGTTTAAACTCAGGGCCTCGTGCTTGCTAGGCAGGCCCTCTGCTGTTTGAACCATGCCCAATCCTGAAAGATCTTTAAATCTTAAATGTATTCTTTATATACTTGCTTGATGTGAGAGATGATTATAGTTGTGTTCACTCTTAGATAAGTTTGTGATAACAGCTTTTTAAGAAGTAAGGGAGAGAATAAATTGTTCTCTATCTAGCAATTCTAGTGGAATTTGATTCTCAAAGCCAACGGTAGCTTTGAGGATAGTGTCTTCTGCAGTGCTGGTTGCTTAGTCTTTATGGCAGTTACCTGATGTGTTAGGCAGTGGAGTAAGACATTCTGAGAAGAAGGAAGCACTAGGTAATTCAGCAGTGGCCAGAAATAGTCTATTGCTAATTTTGTGTGTGTGTGTCTGTGATTGTGGTATAAACTCAGGGCCTCATGCTTACTAAGCAGGTGCTCTGCCAGTTGAGCCACGCCTCCATCTTATTGCATAAGTTATTTTTCAGATAGGGTCTCACATTTTTGCTTAAGGCTAGCCTAAGCCTCGTATTTTAGGGTCTCTGCTATCTCTGGGATGACAGGAGTGGATCACCATTCCCAGCTTTTTTCCATTGAGATGGGGTCTCTGAACTTTTTTGCCTGGAACTGTGATCCTTGAGATCTTGGCCTCCCTGTAGTTAAACTCACTGTGCCCAGCTCTTGGTTGTGATGCGGGGGGGGGGTCTCACTAACTTTGCCCAGGCTAGCCTTGAACTGCAGTCCTGCTGGGATTACGGGCTAGAGCCACCAGTACCCCACTTAAAAGCCCTGTGTTAATTCTGAGATGTTAAAGCTGAGATTCAGCTTTGAGAAAATACACTTGATGTCAAAGGAGGCCTACTTTCCACTTATGGCAGGGATGTATCCTACTTCTCTAAAGTCAGAATCAATAAATAGTATACATGATAGGATACTCTAGTTCTTCATATCCCCAAGATCTGCAATATGATCAATTTACCTGTGTTATCCTAAATTTAAACATTAAGACCATTCTTACTCTTGTTTTTCTTTCTTTCCATATGTGAATACCAGCTAAGTTTTCCTTCCCGTTTCTTTACTATTTAGAGACAGTGTCTCACTATGTAGCCCAGGTTGGCCCTGACCTGAGGTCCTTCTGCCTCAAGCCTCTTTAGTAGCAGGGATTACAGGCATGTGCCACCTAATTTAGCAATTTATTATTAAGTATTACAATTACCCTCAACTGTTTAATCTCAGTAAAACTAATATTTTCTTTATTTATAGGTACTTATGTTTTCCAATGAGGAATACTAGTGCAAGTATTTTATTTATTTCATTTTGCAAGTAATGCAAAGAAAAGATTGTAGGGTTTGCTACAAAAAAGGAGAATTTTTTCCAAGTTTATTCACCTTCTTACCAGAGCTAATTAAGCTAAAGTACAAATTAGGTATAAATTCCTGTGATGTCAGCTGAGTTCTGCATCTAACTGTGACAGTCTGTGTTAAGATACTCTAATAGGCTCTCTGTGGAGAAGAGAGGGAGAAATATCAAATGATTAAAATCCATTGTCATGCACAAGTATTAGAAGTATTTTTAAAGTGAAGAAGTTCTGAGGAGAGGGTAGAGTCAATTCTTAATAGATTGGACAGGAGAATAGGGATGGGAGAGATTGAAGGCTTCATAAGAGAGTGTGATACCAAGTAGAGTTTTGAAGGAAAGCTGGGCATGTGGACAAGGTAGAGAAAGATGTTTCAGACCAGTCGCAGAAGTGTGGAATAGTTACTGTGTTTAGGGAGCTGCAGGTGGGTATTATTGAAACACAGTGAAGTGCATTGGGAAGTGAAGCAGGAGAGGTGTGTCAGTGTAATTGTCAGTGGAAAGTTCTTTTTGATCAAACAGTAGAAGTGGCCCATCATAAAAGCAGAGGAGACAAATACTGAAGTTTTGAAACTTGTTTTTTGTTTGCTTGTTTGTTTGTTTTGGGGCAGGGTTTCATTATGTATCCCAGGCTAGCCTTGAACTTGAGATATCCTTTTACCTCAGCCTAGGATTATTTGTGTGTATCACCTTGCCCTTAGAGAAACTTATATTGACTAAAGCAGTTGTTTTTGCTTTGAGATAGCTTGGCTTCATAATATGTAAATTTCACATGCCTTGGTTATAAAATGCAACAGTAATTTTTTGAAGCATATCAGGGATGGAAAGAATATTTGTGCAATATTGTGCCAATACTGTATTTGCTTATTTGGACTATGAGAAACAGACACATTTGCATTAAAAGACAGATGAATTTTTAAAAAAATGCTTATTGCAGCATTGTCTCCAGCAGTGAAACATTGGAAAGAAACTAAATGCCTTCATTGGGGGAGTGGCTAAATTGTGGTGTATTCATACAGTGGAATATTCAAATGAATGAGCTGAGTGTATCAACATAGATATCTGTAAACTAATGTTGAACCAAATAAAATTGCAGAGTGAAACATAAGTATGTTAAAGTTTATATAAAGTCTTGAATCAGGTAAAATGATACTATAAATACTTTATGGTATACATATATGGCAAACATAAAAACTCATGGAGTGATAAATATCAAATACAGTAGTGTGTTGTGCTCATGGGGAGAGATGGGCAGGAGGGATTGTGATGTGGTACCAGGTAGCGTTGGTTGTAAATATGGGAATGTATTGTATATATATTCTTTAGAATAATGATCTGAACTAAATTTAGCAAAATGTTAGAAATTTGTGCAAGTTAGGTAGTAAGTACATAAAAATATTGTTATTCTTTTCCTTTTTTATTAGTGCTTATTAATTGTACAAAGGGGTTTCATTGTGATATTTCCATACATGCCTATAATGTACTTTGACCAAATTCACCCTGTTATTCTTTCTTATCTCCCCTGCCCCCTTGTTATTCTTAACACTTTCCTGAAAACAAAAAGTGAAGGTCAGAGGAGATGATGAATGGAGGTGTCAACAGGCTAGTGAAAAAGAAAGTTATCTTAGGCTAAGAATGAGCACTGTGGACATGGGAACCCTGCAGGAGGAGGAGAAGATGCTTGGGCAGAGTTGCTAAATATAGAAGAGAGAGGTGAGGTAAAGACAGACCATGTCTAATTCTATCTGTTGATTTTTTTTCTCTTGATATTTTTTAGAGAAATATGAAACGCAATGGGAGCAGAAATTGTTTGAATAGAAGAAGTAGGTTTGGTTCTCGAGAAAGAGACTGGCTGAGAGAAGATGTGAAGAGAGGCTGTGTTTACCTTTATGGATCAGATACCAACACTGCCACTACAACTACCACCATCTCCTCCTCTTCCTCCACTTCTTGCTCCTCCTCTGATTTACATCTTGTCCTTTGCACAGTAGAGACACCAGCATCAGAAATATGTGCTGGAGAGGGAAGAGAAAGTCTTTATTTACAGCTTCATGGAGACCTGGTCAGGTAAGGTCTGAGGTATTTGGGTTTTTTAATTTGTTTTAGAGACAGGGTATCTCATGGGCTGGTGTATGGCTCAAGTGGTGAAGCACTTGCCTAGCAAGGGCACATTCCTTAGTTCAAAGCCCAGTACCAAAAAAAAAAAGAAGAAGAAAAGAAAGAGAGAGAGAGAGAGAGAGACAGACAGACAGACATAATCTCCATGTAGTTCAGTCTGACTGCCTGCCTCAGCCTCCTGAGATTCCAGGTATGTGCCTGTGAACATGTCCTGAGGTCTGACTTTTATTACTCTTAATACTCTAATTCTATTGCAATGTAAGTAACATACAGTACTGCTTGGAAGTGAACTTTTTTTTTTGGTTGTTTGAACTCTGCTTCATGCTTGCTAAGTAGGCACTCTACCACTTGAGCCACTCCACCAGCCTAAATTTTAAGACTTGTATCTTGGTAAACTGATGCTGAATATGGAATTATTCGGCTTGAGAAAAAATTTGACCTTGGAATGCTGATTGTATGATTCTTAAATTTAAAACTATCATGAAGGAAAATTTAATAGTTCTTTTATTTGGACTACACCGTGCATCAGATATCTAAATTTAAGTATTTTTAAATTTAATTTTTTAATTTTTTTTTTTTTACTGGGGGTGGCCTTATGCTTGCTAGGCAGGCACTCTCCCTCTTGAGCCACTCCTCCAGCTCATTCTTAAGACAATCTCTTTTCAAGTCTAGTGGCTTAGATTTTTGAAAATCTAATAGAAATTTTGCTATTTTATTGTTTTAATTTTCATTTCTGTTGATGAATGAAGTTGATTCATATTTTAAGTGTTTTATATAATCAATAAGAAAAATATTCTTATAGTAGTCTTAATACTGTGCATATGAATGCTTTGATTCAGATTTTAAAAAATTATTAGTTCTTTGAATTACATACAATAAGAGCTCTTTAAATGACTGACCATTGTTTTTCTTTTCCCCATTCCCTGTAATAATGTCTTGAAACAATTCAAAGCTGTGGCTTCAGTACAGTTAGAGTGAGAAATGAAGCTCCCACTTACACCTGAAAAGTGTGATAATAATAGTAACACCTTTAGCTGAGCTAAAAATTGATGTCATTTAAAAATTGTAAACTGAAGTTTACTCTGTATTACTGTTGGGGTTGGACAAAGTCCTGAAAAAGTAGATTAGCATTTGAATGTTTTCCTTGTTCGCCAGTTAACTACATTTTCTAAATCCATTCATACAGTGAAAGGATCAGACAAGGTGATCCTTTGGCTTTTCTAAATCTTAACACTCATTCTGATCTAATTTTATCAGGTGGAAAGCCTTGACCCAGATTATAGCTGGTAGTGATTGATTGAGTTCACTTATTTAAGCATATGACTTACTCATTTGTTTAGTAATGTTTGCTTAAACAAAGATAACTGGACATATGGAGAAACCGCCTCAGTAATTGTTCTGTTCCTGCTAGTTGTGTAATTAAGAATCCAAATGTGATATAGTTTATTTACTTATGAGAAGCTAAACTGTATTCAAAGTGGAAAGTTTGTTTTTAGCCCTGTAGCCTTGATAATTGTAATGAAATAGCTCTTTGAAGCTATAATTGATTAGAAAATAATGAAAACACTATTTTTTTCCCTTCCACCCTCATGTCTCTCCATTCACAATACAGACCAGGCACAGGGCCTAGGCTGAGTTGTATATGGGGTGGGTTTACTTTGCTTCCTTTTTTCTTTCTATACAGCTAGTGTAAGCACCAGGAGGCCTATGAAAACACTGTTCAACTGTGCTTTGACAGAATGGATATTTTTTCTTTTCTGAAGTAGCTCAAGAAGTTACACAACTAAGGATGATTAATGATGATGATAGTGCTTGCTTGTGCTAGTCAGTGTGGTTAGTGCTTCATGTACATTTTCTTATTAAATTTTTACAAGAATTCTAAGGGAGATAGTCATTTCTTTCAGGTGAGCAAGATTGAGGCTTTGAGATAGGTCCAATAACCTTCTCAAGGTCAGGCAAGTACTGCCTAATATTCAAGGTAGATGATGACTTCCTTCTGAGTACAGGTCCTGCGAACTGCTGATCCAGCAGCTCCCCTTTCTCTGTTTTACTGCTTAATTATGCCTAGTTCAAGATCTTCTTTATATCTTTTACTCAGCTGTTAATTGCATGAGTTCAGCCTTCTATTATCTAATCTGAGGAGTAGGTACTTTCTCCAGAATAAATAGCCTTTTATAAGATAGTTGGCAATCTAAGGCATTATCATTTTTGAGAACTTTTTTTTGCTGATTACTGAATTCTAATATATATTTATTGAAGAAATTTTAGAAAATGAAAAGGCATTAAGAGAAATAATATTCAATGCTGTGCTTCACATCGGTTACCTCTAATTCTGTTTTATAGATGTGGAAAGTTAGGCTTAAGAGGGCCAAGCATCTTGAGAATAATCAGCTAGGAAGAAGTTGAGCTGGAGTTTGAACCTGGCATTCTGATACCAGGTCCCCTTCTCTTAACCTGTATTGGTAACAGTTATTTCCCCAAGATCTTTTTCTGACCATGCATATTTTGGACTCATAGCATATATTCAATTTTATGTCCTCCTGTTTCATTTAATAGATCATTTTAATTTCATTGTGTTACTGAAATTCTGTAGATACAGATTTGAATAGCAATAGAATATTCTATTTTATGAATATACTATATATTGTTTAAAAATTGAATAGTTTTTAATGGTTTAGTGGTTAGGTTCATATCCTCTAAACAAATGTGTGGGTTTAAATCCTGAAAATTACTGTATAAGCAAATAATGCTGTGTCTCAGTTTACAGATCTGTAAAATGGAAAATAGTATTTTAATTGTTGAATTGTCATGAGAATTACGTTGATTACATGTTATGACAATTAACTGAATTGATTCTTGTAAAGTAGTACTTCTTAAACTGCCTACTTGGGAAGCTTATTAAAATACAGATTCTGATTTGGTAGATCTAAGATGGGATTTAAGATTGTGTTATTTCTGTTAAGGTTCTAAGTGATGTGCTATACTTTGAGTAGCAAGGAAGTAAAGGACTGAGAATGATGTCTGTCACCTTAAGTGTTCTCTCTCTCTTGTTTTTGGTGCTGGAGATTAATCCTTGGGTCTTGAGTATGCTAAGCTTTTGTTCAACCACTGAGCTACAACCCCCAGTCCCAAGTGCTTAATAAATATTACCTATGTGGATGGTTTTGAATCATTCAACTCTTAGAAGTAATGCTGTTTTGACTAAACTGTTGCTCATAAATCTTTGCATTGCTGACTTTCCTTGGCTTGGTTCTCAAAGTGGATAACTGGGATCAAAATCTATGCTTTGTCTAAATGATCTTTCTTTACTTTTTTTTTTAAAATTATACTTGAGTATAATTGAAGGGTTACAACTTACAGTTTTAGCATTTGAAGGAACTTTAGAGAGATCATCTAGCGAAACTACGTGTGGGGGCAGAGTTCTTTGGTTGTCACAACTGCTGAAAGGAGTCACTAATATTTAGGGGGTAGGGGATGGAGAGGCTTAATGTGTTTAATATGTGAAACAACAAAGGATTTTCCTCACTCCAAAGCCAGGAACTTCCTATTGGGAATTATTAAGACTATTTCCCTTTGTTTTATAAAGGTGAAACAGGCCCAGAGAGTTGGTGTTGAATGAGTGTTCCTGAAGCTGACTGGTGGCAGAGGTGCATTTGGGATACAAGTGTCTTTCCTCCCGGTCTACTGCTCCTTACCTTATACTGTTTGGTCCTTTTTCTGGTGAGCTGTTTAAGTGAAAAATGACTCACCAGTAAAGCTTACTGTAATCATTGCCTTCTGTTTGAAAAGTTGTAACAAGATCATATGTAATAAGATGGATTGCCCTTTGACTCATGGTCATATATTTGCTATTATTCTTAGTAATCAAAAGGGCTAAGATTTCTAAGTATTTGATAACTATCTTTTAAGATAAGCTGAGAACTAATAGTATGTTTATGATAGAAGATAACATCAGTAGGATTTGGGCTTCTGAGTTCTAATCTCTTACTGAGTAGAAAGTGTCTTCCTGCCAATCATCAAAATTTTGTTTGCTAAATATATGTATATTTCCTCCCTCCCTTCCTTCCTTTCTTCCATTCTTTCATCCCAGGACTTCCTGCATGCTAGGCAAGGGCTCTTCCACTGAGCTACACCACCCAGTCCTTTTTACCAATTGGAATGAAAATTTCGGTTTCTGGATAGATACCAAACTGATTACCAGTGAGGAAGGGAAAAGGAGATTGAAGTCTAAATAATTGAAATAATTTTTTTATTTTGAAGCAGGTTTTTTTTATTTTGTGGTACTAGGGTTTGAATTCAGGGCTTTGTACTTGCTAGGCAGGTGCTCTAGCATTTGAACCACCCCTCCAACCCCTGTTACTCTGGCTATTTGGGAGAAGGGGGTATCGCTTTTTGTCCAGTCTGGACTGCGGATCCTCCTATTTATGCTTCCTGATGTAGTTGGGATGACGGGCATACACCACCATGCCCACCTTTTTTTCGTTGAGGTGGGGGGGTGGGTGTCTCACAAATTTTTTTTGCCAGAACTATCCTGGAACTGTGATCCTCCCAATCTTAGTCTCCTAAGTAGTCAGGATTACAGGTATGAGCCACCAGCACTGTCCTCTAAATAGTTTTTTTTACATTCAGTACCTCTGAAATCAGCATGTATCATCTAGTTGATAGGTTTAGTTTAATTGACATTGTTTATTCTTTCTTTATGGTTATTCTGACACTGTCTGGCTTACTGCAATATACTTCTGACCCTGACCACCAGGGTTAGTGCTGACTTCACAAATTCAAGGGCATGGTTCCCCAACAAGACTGCCTTTTTTAAAAAAAATTTTATTTTGTTGTTATTATCATATTATTGTTGTACTGGGGGTACATTGTGACATTTACAAAAGTGCTTACAATATATCTAGTTAACTTCATCCCCTCCATCATTCTCCTTTTTCCTTCTTCCTCAC